CTTTCAGCACAGACCCCAATGCAGGGTTCAAACTCATGAACAATGAGATCACGACCTGAGCTGAAGTCAGATGCTTAACCAACTTAGCCACCCAGACACCCTGAGATTGAGCTCATTTAATTCCCATCACATCCTGTGAGATGGATGCTCTCACCATCCCACTTTATAAATGAAAGCCTCTTTTTGAGGCCTTCCAAATGTAGTTGTTTAGTGAGTTCTTCCTAAGTGATAATTTCACTTTTTCAAAAAAAAAAATTATATCTAGTGTTTCACATGCCCTATTTGGGTGGCTGGAGAACACTAAGAAGGACTTTAGCAGCCAACTGTTATGGGATGGGAGCTGAGGTATCAGCTTGAAAAGGATACCTGCCTGACTGATGCCTGAAATCCTTTGATCAGAGAACCAAGCTTGCACAGTGTTATCAGAACTTAACTCAAGCTCTGAATGTAAAGACCTCTTGAGAGAGTCCTTTTTTTTTTTTTTTTTAAATGTTTATTTATTTTTGAGACAGACAGAGTGTGAGGGAGGGAGGGGCAGAGAGAGCTGGGGACAGAGGATCCAAAGCAGGCTCTGCACTGACAGCAGGAAGCCAATGCTGGGCTCCAACTCATGAGAGATCATGACCTGAGCCACTTAACTGACTGAGACACCCAGGTGTCGTCCCTCTCCCCCCCCCCCCCCAACCAGTGAGTCTTAAACTGAAGTACCAATTACCAGTATCAGAAGCAGCACGGCAGAGGGGAAAATACGTGTCCTTGGAATCTGGGTAGATAGACAGATCTCTTTTGAATTCCAACTCAGTTACTTCTAAGGTTTTAGTTTGTTGGTTTTTAATTTTTTTTTCTTTCCTTTGCTGCTGTGTTTATTCACTGTGTTATTTTAGGAAGAATTAGGTATGTTGCATTAAACCATATGATGCAAACGGGTAAAGTGAATGCAAGGAGAAGTCTATGAGGCCACCGAGGTGACGGGAGGTGAAGGTGGGTAGGATGAAGCTGGGAGCGACTGTTGTACGATCCTGTGTATTTGGTAGAAACAAACCTGTTACTGAGCAGCCCACATAGAGACGGAAACCTCAACAGTTAACATTATCAAGTGTGTTCAGAGAAGAAAAGGAAGCCTGTTCAAAAAGAAATCTTCGAGAAAGTTTTCTCTGGGTTGTCATGCAGAGAATGTGTATAATCACCATTGTGGGACCACGGAAGTGGAAGCACTGAGTGTCATTTTTCTTCTTAATGGAGTGTTCTCCATATATCACTCTATTTTGTCTTACTTCAAAAAAATATGCATTCATTTAAGACAGACATAGAAGCAACATGAAGAACTACCTGTTCATTTGTAATCTCAGCATCTAGAAATAACCACATTAGCATATGACAAGTTCATCCATACCAGTCATCGTCAAACTTTTTCTGTAAAAGGTCAGTTTATAAATATTTACAGACCATTTCTATCGAAACATCAACTCTTGCTGCTGTAAGCACAAAAGCAGTCACGGGCAGCACGTACACAAATGGGCCTAAATGTGTTCTAATAAACTCTATTTACAAAAACAGGTAGCAGGCCAGATTTGGGCCTCAGTCCCCAGTTTACAAACCCCTGATCCCTCTGTCCCTCTGTGTCTCCCTCCTTTCCTTTCTTCTTTCCTTTATTTAACAAATTATTTTATATAACTTTATTTTGAAAAATTAGAGTTATAATTAGTTGCAAAGATAGTATGGAGAAGTACTTTTTCCCCTTAGTATATAAAACCCTTGAGATCTTTCAAAGTTGTTACGTTTATAAATAGTTTTGCCTTTTTATCAATATTTGTCAATGGAGTCAGTTTGCTTAACATTTGCTGGTTATAGGACATCATGTTTGTACTTTGTTTGTTTGTACTAATGCTGCTGTAAAGAGTTGTACACTGGATCAGAGACTCATTTCTTTGCCAGGTATATGTTTCATGTGGAGAACGTTGGATCAATCCTGATGTGTCCATTGCTCAGCAGAAGAAGCAAATCTTCCTGAGGAACTTAGCATCAGATATTTCTAAAATTCAGACTTTCTGCAGCATACATAAGATAGAGGGTAAGCATTGGAATTATTTACCATAATAGATATGGCCAAAATTAAATACTTGATACTGCCTTTTTATTTAAAAATCCAAGTTTGTTTAAATAGGTTACACTTCATCCCTGTATCCTGCCTGCTGTTTAGCTCTTTAATATATATATATATATATTTAACAGGATTGCATATTTTAATTCACACTACACAGTGGATATGTAAGGAAAGCATAATTTATTTTGTCTGTAACAAATTCAGTCGCCCAGGTGCACCTGGGTGGCTCAGTGGGTTGAGCATCTGACTTTGGCTCAGGTCATGATCTCGTGGATCCTTATTTTAAGCCCTGCATTGGGGTCTGTGCTAATAGCTCAGAGCCTGGAGCCTGCTTCAGATTCTGTGTCTCCCTCTCTCTCTGCTCCCCTCCCACTTATACTCTGTCTCTCAAAAATGAATAAACATTAAAATATTTTTAAAAATTAAAAATAAAAAATGAATTTAGTCTTCTTTGTTTTCCATCAAGGAAAACATAGAATGTCCAATCAGGCTTAAACTTTGGCCCATCCATTAATTTAAATCATCCCTTTAGGGAGAGTTTTCAGATTTCCCATTCCCCAGAGTATCCCTCAATTTCTCTCTCAGATAGAAGGGAGGAACTTGGGGGACAGGGTCTCTTGCTTTCTGGGTCTTGCTGGTTGATGTCCATGACTGGGTGGCTATGTTCCATTCCTTTGGTCCAGAAAATGGTTTGGGTAGGAGGTGCTTCCTGCCTGATTCAGCCCTTCTGCTTCCTCTGGCCCTCTGAAGCCTGGCTGTGTCTGAGTGGTCCTCTCTGAAGTCCTTATTACATGACTCAACACCCCTTCTTGGCAACCACTTCTGGAAAGCTCCCCAGAATGACTCTCGGCAAATCTTGGGTCATGGCCACACTTCTCAGAAACCAGATCCAGGTTGATACAACTACGCCTCAGATGGGAGTGGTGAGGGCAACTTGAGAGGTGACTCATCACAGTGTTCTGAACAATGGCCAGTGTCCTCTGTGTTTCTTTGTGTAGCGTAGGTACCTGAAGTGAAGCCTGTAGGAGGAATCATGATACCCAGTGTTGGTTTTCTGCCTTCCTCTATCTTCTGTCTTAAATTCCCCTTGGCCCGGAAATGGTAGGTTTTCTCCTAGTCAACCTTGATGTTAAGGCTTTGATATGCTCAATGGGAGCTAACAGCATTTAGAAAAATCCTGAATCACGACAGTGTCATCCTGATTGACATGGCCCTTGTCTTATGGCAATATGCTGTGCCTGCGTGTCAGACTATCTTTGTACTTATGCTTTCCTTTTGTAATATTTCTTATCAACTTACGGTCCTCCTTCTTCCTTTAAGGCTTCCTCAGGAATTAGGACAAAAGTCCTATGTATAGAAAGACGAAAGAGAAAAATCATTAATATAGCTTAAAGCATTTCCCTGTTACATATGAATACTTACTGTACAGTAAGCTTTGCATGTGGCTTTCAAGGCATTGGGGACTCCACTGAGGAATTTAGGATTCTAGGAATGATCTAGAAATATATGTCTAACTATAAACCCATTTAAATGGCTAGAATTTACAATAACATTTTTTGGAAAGACCTGTTTTTAGTAACTTTTTCCCCTTAGGCCCTTTTTAAATTGATGGTTAATTGATATATGATGTTGTATTTGTTTCAGGTATATAATATAGTGATTTGACATTTATATACATTATGAAATGGTCACTGCAATAAATCTAATTACCATTTGTCACCATGCAAAGTTGTTAAAATATTATTGATGTTATTCCTTATGCTGTACATTACATCTTCATGTCTTCTTTACTTTATAACTGGAAGATTATACCTCTTAATTCCAATTATCTATTTCATCCATCCTTCTACCCTTCTGACAGTTATCAATTAGTTCTCTGTATCTATGAGTCTTTTTCAGTTTTGTTTTGTTTGTTTATTTTTTAGATTCTACACATAAGTGAAATAATATGGTACATGTCTTTATCTCCCTTATTTTACTTAGCATATATCCATGTTGATGTAAATGACAAGATCTCATTTTTTATGGCTGAATAATATTCCTGTGTGTGTGTGTGTGTGTGTGTGTGTATACACGCCACTTTTTATCCATTCATCTGCCCATGAATGGTTCAATTGTTTCCATATCTTGGCTATTGTAAATAATGCTGTAATCTACATAGGGATGCATATGTATTTTCAGATTAGTATTTTCATTCTTTGGATAAATACCTAGAAGTGGAATTGCTAGATCATACAGTAGTTCTGTTTTTAATAGAAGAATCTCCATACTGTTTTGCATAGTGGGTCCACCAAAGGTACATCCCTACCAAGAGTGCATGAGTGCTCCCTTTTCTCAACATCTTTGCCAACACTTGTTATTTTTTGTTTTTTTGATAATAGGCATTCTGACAGGTGTGGGCTGATATCTCACTGTGGTTTTGATTTGCATTTCCCTGATGCTTAGTGATACTGAACATCTTTTCATGTATAAGTTGGCCATCTGTATGTCTTCTCTGGAAGAATGTCTTTTCACGTCCTCTGCCCATTTTTTAATCAGATTGGTTTTAGGTATTGAATGCTATGAATTCTTTGTATATTTGGGATACTAATCTCTATTTTTAGGACTTTTGACTGACAGTGTCTTGGGAGGAGAGAATCTACAAAAATTAAGTGAAATCAAATTTATTAAAGAGTGACTACTAATTACACTTAGAATGTGTTCTCATAGACCAAATAGCTGAAAATAGTCTGCATTTTTGTTTTAACATGTGTTTTCAAATTCCTAGTGTTCTGCGATCATAACTAATGTCCTTGCAATTTGTGCATTTTTGCTTAGCTCTTGTTTTAGAAGTCCAAAGTGACATTGCATCCGGAGCCAAGCTTGCTGTGCATAAACCTGTAGCAATTTTTGGAGAAGAGAAACAAATTATAAGACCAAAGGAAAAGCAAATGGAAAAAAATGCTTTAACAATGGAAAATGCTTCAAGTAAAATTCTGTAAGTAATCAGTGTGGCCAGAAAAGCTACCTGGTTCTATTTGAACTCAGCTCATTAGCTCAATAACAGCACAGAGCCCATGCAGGGAACCCACAAGTTTCTGAAATGGATGTCAGGTAAAGAGCTAGTACATATTTAATTAGTTTTTTGGCCAAAAGATAGAGCTGGATCTTCAATGTTCAGCCATCACAATGATCTACTTTTGGTAATTTTGTTATTATATTACAATTTTTATAAGACTAGAATTTTGGAATTACAAACTATTTGAAGAGTTCATCATATTTTGTTTCATAAATGCTGACTCCAGGAACAATTAAATTACTATAGGTTCAAGCTGGATTCATGTTAATATACAGTTGGCATCCTGGATCCCTGAAGTAGTTTTCTGATTGGACTTTATCTTCATTTTCTCCTCCTTCCAGTTTCACCCACAGACAGTTATCTTTCTAAAGCATAATCCTTTTTATATAGTTCTTCTATGGCTACCTACTGCAGATAGAAAAAATATTTAGTCTGTAATGAAGCCCTGATGACCTGAGTCCAGGCCTGTCACTGATTCTCATTTGCACCCCTATGCCCACCTCCATGCCACATTTTTCCTTCCTGACACATGAACAAAACCTCAGCTCAGCAACTACAAGCTGACACCAAACGTGGCATATTCCATTTATGCACTATATCATGCCTCTGAGCCACTTATTTGTTTCTCTCCACCTGAAGTGCCTTGACCTGCCTGGTACTCATCTGTGGAATGGTTCTTCATCACTGAAATCAATCATGATAATGACTGTACACAGCAATGTGCTTCTCAGTTCCCTCCCCCTCTCCCCACAACAACTGTGAGGGCAAAAACTCTTGTCTCACACATGTTCTGTGAAGACCAGGGTAGCCACCTTTAATCATCATTTACTGAAAAAATGGAGGGGGATTGATTGAGTGAATTTCCAAATTCTAAAACCATATATGGCTATTCAATTACCATTGTGATAACAATGAAAGTTAATTTATATATCATTGTTACAAACTATTTTAAAAGACTGCTTATATCCTCAATTATAAGAATATCAACCCTTATTTTAGGAAACAAATCCCCCTATTTTGATGGGTGATTCATCTGGTCCCATGTCCTGATTCTAACAAAGGCACCAGAAAACCTTTTTCAGAGAGAAATGATTTAACCTACATGGTATATTCCTCAATGGCTAGAGAATTTATGAAGAATGTATTATCTAGCCTCTGAGTTATTAAACTGCACATGGTAAAAAAAAAAAAAGTACACAGAAAGTAAGAAAAAATAAAGAGGTCTCTGAGAGCAAAGATCTATATTGGTCTAATTGATAGATTTCATCAAAGCCTGGAATCCTTGAGGTAGAAGTGATTGAGTCCATTTGGAACATAAGGCAGGAATCTCTTGCACGTTCCAGACAGGCTCTTTTGATCCCATCTTTTCTTGAATACTCATAGTAACAGGGAGATCACTATTTTGTAAAGTATACCATTCTAATGTTGAAATTTAGAATATCTCCATTCTATGATTTCATTTGTTTCTCTGTCTATACCATTTCGCTCTACTTAAAAGTCCTTAAAATATTCCAAGTTCACTGTCATCAGCTTACTGGGTTATCTCTTTTCCAGGGTAATTTTCACTAGTTCTTTGAACCACTTCTGATGACTCAATCCTAAATCATCTTATATTAGACAGTCACCTTAAGATTTCCCCAGACTTCCTTAGATATGTCTGTTTGGAAGTTTTACTTATTTGAGAGGTGGGATGATTTAAGGAGGGGCATCCATAAAGCAAGAAGCTAAACAGATCTAGAAGGAACTCCTAAATTTTTTTTCAATGTTTATTTTTGAGATGGGGCGGCAGAGAGAGAAGAAGACACAGAATCTGAAGCAGGCTCCAGGCTCTGAGCTATCAGCACAGAGTCCACTGTGAGGCCTGAACCTACGGACCTTGAGATCATGACCTGAGCCAAAGTCACTTAACTGACTGAGCCACCCTGGTGTGTCAAAGGAACGCTTTTGATAGCAAGGTTCTGTGTAAAGATTTCTGGTAATAAAAATAAGCAAAATGGAAAGGAACTGTGGGACTACTCACTTCAGCTTTGCTGCTTTGTGGAAGAAAGGGCCTTTTTAGCATAGAGCTCAGGGAAAACTTTCTCATTTCCTTACTGAATTATAGGCAGAGCCTGCCCACTTCCAGAGCCTCTTCACATACTACCTTTCTCACTCACTGCACACCTAAGACCCTGGTGTCCTGCTGTTCCTCAAATGAACCAAACATACTCTTGCTTCAGACCCTTTCAATTTATTCTTTTCTCTCCCCAGAATGCTGTCTCTCTAGATTGTCACATGGCTGGCTCCTTCTCATTTTCCAGGTCTCAACTCAAACATCATCTCTCAGAGGAGCCTTCTTTGACTACATTGCTAAAGTAGACCCCAACCCAGCCAATTGCTATCACATTGTATTGTTTTATTCCACTTATGGCATTTATACTATTTAGTTATTCATTTACTTGTGTGTTATCTCTCTTCTGCCCACTAGAATGTAAGCTCCATGAATCTCGAGAACTTATTTTGTTCATCACCTTATTCTCAACACTTAGAACTCTGTGCTTATCATATAGTAGATGTTCAAGAAGGATCAGTTAAAAGAATGAGTGAGTAACTATGGAATGATTAGTCATATAAGTCATTATATGAATGAGTGGACAAATGAATGAATTAATAATGGAAGGTATATTTAGAAAGGCCTGTTCTAAGTTGTCTTGACTGTTTTTCATTTGCCTGGAAGCCAAAGATCATACAGATAAATTCAAAATTAGAAAATTAAATGTCTTGATTGGGGAAAGAATCTTGTTTACACCTCGTTAAATATGTTAAAACTAAGAATGACATTTCTGTTTTCTGTTTTCCTCAAAGAAATAGTCAGTGGGAAAGCTGTGGTTTTCATTTTTAACACAAGATGGCACTGTTGTTTTTTTTTAATATTTTTTATTTATTTCTAGGAGAGAGAGAGAGAGAGAGAGTGTGAGCAGGGGAGGGTCAGAGAGAGAGGGAGTCACAGACTGAAACAAGCTCCAGGCTCTGAGCTGAGAGAGAGAGAGAGAGAGAGTGTGAGCAGGGGAGGGTCAGAGAGAGAGGGAGTCACAGACTGAAACAAGCTCCAGGCTCTGATCTGGCAGTCAGCACAGAGCCCGACGCGGGGCTCGAACCCACGAACCGCGAGATCATGACCCAAGCGAAAGTCGGCCGCTTAACCGACTAAGCCACCCAGGCGCCCTGGCACTGTTGTTTTTTAACCGCTAGTAAGACTTTTTGACTTAAGAAGCCCCAAGCCCTGTGTGCTGCTGCTCTGAATGAGGCAGCTGTTATCCACCAATTTCATTGCCACATATAATACTTTTGTTACATTTGAAATTTGTATGGTCTGCTCTGCCAACACAGGAATTGACCCCACGGATTTTGGTAATTTGAGATTGCTTGCAGTTCTATAAATACCACAAGCACCTTGGAGCTCATAGCCTCCCCGCATCCCCTAGCTGTATTTACATATATGCATATTTGTTGCTTTGCCCATATTCTTAACCTACCTTGATCCCAGCAGTCTTCATATTGTGGTGTGATTCTATGGAAGCAAATGTACCCTAAGCAGTGCCCGGAACTTGATATATACAGATCTGGATGGTGGCTATGCTCCTGTTCACACCTTCATCTTAATAAGAAGCCAGAAGGCTGAGTGACTCAGTTAGTCAAGCTCTGACTATTTAAATGTTTTAGTACATTATTCTCTATCAAAAGCTGGCACGTACATGCCCATGCTATTTGAGCCTCTCTAGGTTTGAGAGGAAAAGTTAAGTTAATTAAGATTTCTTAACACTTGTCTAATGAGTAAACTTTATGAAATGCAGTAATCTAGGCTGTTCTGTTCCAGACAGAATTATGACCCACTTATGGAGCAGGCAGAAGGAATCTCATTACACATTCATTATGAATTTCTTAAAGTACCAAGTAGCCTTAATCTCGCAGTTTTTCAAATATAATACATGGCCCCATTTTTTCTCAAATAAATATGGTAAAGATGAATGCTATTTATGTAATTGAGGAATTTTATTTGTAGCCTTATATTAAAAGGTCTAAATTATGTATTAGTAGGATATGGATTTGCAATGCCAGGCACCCTAATGAAAATGCGATTTACAGATCCACCGATATCCTTCAGCATATGATCAGACTATCCCTCAGAGAAAACTCTGTGAGTAAAAATAAGAATTCTTAGACTTGTGTTTGCTTTTGAACCTTGGTAGAGATTCACATGCAAGAGCCCATCTTCGAATGAAAGCTTGTCACACTCTTCCCAGATATGCCTGGCAGGAAACTCCTCATGACTTTGATGAGGATGGCAGTCTTCCAAAGAAAATGGAAGAACTCTTTGAAAATGTGGAACCACAGAAGAAATACAGGTAAAAAGTTGCAAGGGATTCTTGTGAGATTTTCTGCCTGGTCTTAGATTTGCTCACTTTGGGACTAAATGATTCCTGTGAGTTTGCCTTACTGTTAGCCGCCATTTACATCAACATGCACATTTTTGTTTTTGTTGTGTCTTTGAGTAAGTATTTCCAAGTATCTGTGGGAAGGCCCTTCTCTCCTTAGCTTATTTTGTGCCACGTGATGTAATTTCTTGTTCACTGGTGTCTTTTCCATTGAACGGTAAGTTCATCCCCTTTGCCTCCTGATAACTTAGCACCAAGCCTATGTGTTTGTTGAATGAATGTGTGAATGAAATTAAGAATAAGCATATGAGATTCCCTGATGTCTTTAAGAAACTAGTAAAATGTAGTTTCTTTTTTTAATTTATTTTTTTTTCTGGTCAATGTCCAATGAGATAACAGCAATTTATAGTACTTTGTATCATTCCATAATCTTTAGATGTTTGCTTAACTTGATAGCATTTTGTATAAGTTAACTAGTTTTGCCACTTTGACATTTAGCATAGAGTGGGGGGCTCCATAGATGTTTATAAATTAATTTGATTGACAATGCATTGTGATATTTCATATGTTTAATAAGTCTTCTTATTGCCTTAACATCCTTAAGCAAGAGATTCCTTTAAACTAACTTATTAGAATATCATTCTTTTTTATGATATTCTATGAGTTGTGAGGGAAGATGGAAAAACTTGAAAAATGGCATTCTATTTGCTAGAGAGACTAGAGATAGAGACTAGACACAATCATGATCTGAACGCCCTTGTTTCTCCTTCGTTCCCTTTTTACATGCCCCTCTCCTTCTCCTACTCTTTTCCCCCTTTAATTAAATATCTCTTCAACGAAATTTCTTTTTGCCATGCTGATGAGTTTTTCATATTCTCTTGGATGAACATTTATTTCTGTTACAGAATAAGCCAAGAATTCTAGCTTTTTTACATCAGCTTGGCAGTGCAAGGCAAATAGTATTGCTGCTGTCCCGATGATAATGCCTCACCATAATAAGTGAGTTCAGTTCACAGCAGTTCTCTGGCCAACAGAGCTTGCAGTCTCCAGTACATCAAGGTGCACAGGACATTTTTTGGCCACTAATGGGATTTTCTTTATCTCAGCCATTCTCCAAAGCAGAATAAATTGCAGAAGCTTTGCCATCAGCAGTTTGAATACAGAGATGGGCAAATTATATGCCATGCTGCTCCTCAGCTGGTTTTGGGAGTGCGAGGTCCTGACCTGCGTTCAGGCATGGAGGTAGTTTTGGTGGAGAAAAAAATGGATGATAGTCATCAACGATGGATGCACAAGGAAGACAGCAGGTAAACCCATTATATTGTGGAGTCAGTATATCAAAATATATCAGCGGAAGTCTTCAAGATCTGGCATGGTCTCCACAGAGCAGGCAGGGAGTATATCTGAGGACTTTGGATTTTTTATTTAATGTAGCCAATAATTTTTATCCTTCTCAAAGAAGAGAGAGTGAAATCAAATGTAAATGCTCAGTAGTCTATACACCATATATCCACTGTTGATTCAGATAAGAAAGAGGAAATGTGACCTACTTGGTTCATAGTTTTCACTGGCTGTTGAAGTTGAGAGAAAACTGGGATGTCATCTAATTTTATTTTTATGATTTGAAAGGATCAAGTAAGAGCTTCAAAGAATCCTCATTTTAAAACTTTCGCAGTACTTTTCATTAACTCAGTCTCCTGCCCCTCCCCACATCTTATGCATACATAAGTTGCTTATTTCCATCAAATAACCAACTGATAATGGCTTCTGCTTACACAGTGAAAAGGAATTCTTACCTTAACATATCTGTCAATTCAATCCAACCCAATGGCTGGCCTATGTCTTGTTCCAGATTCAGGCCAACCACTGTCAAAAGGTTATTTCTAAGACAGTTTGAGGAAATGTAAAAGTCTAGGGGCACTTGGGTGGCTCAGCTGATTGGGCATCCAACTTCAGCTCAGGTCATGATTTCACGGTTCATGAGTTCGAGCTCCACATCAGGCTCTGTGCTGATAGCTTGGAGCATGGAGCCTGTTTCCAATTCTGTGTCTCCTTTCCTCTCTGCCCCTCTCCTGCTTGCTCACTCTTTCTCTCTCTCTCAAAAATAAATATTTAAAAAAAAAGTCTAGGTACCAGATGATACAAAGGAAGTCTTATTAATCTTGTTGAGTGTCAAAATAGTTTAATGGTTATGTTAATAAAAGTCCTGATCACTTAGATATATATTGTAGTATTTACATGAAAATTAATAGATAGCTCAGATTTGCATTAAAATATTCTGGCAAAAGCAAAAATGTAAAATGTTACAGGATAATGGATGAAACAAGAATGGCAGTATGTTGATAACTTAAGTCATGGTGGTTTCTTAGACCATTCTCTCTGTTTCTGTGCATATATGAACATTTCTTTAACTAGAAAGAAAACAGTTCCTTGCTTTTTAGATTGGTTTGCTTCAAATTCTACCATTTACATGGTGGAGTTCCATGGGCCTCTTAAATCTCTTGAAATCTGAGCTATACATTTTTTTTTTTTACCCCGGGAAAGAGCTGTGATTTTCATTGTATTCCAAAAGATATGTGAAGCGAAAGGTTTAGGAATTGTTTTGAGGCAGATTGTATAAGCTTCAGCAGGCGGCAGCAGCAGCTCAGCGTGGGCAGGACGGGAGTTAGCCTTACTGTGTTCACTGTCTGAGGCGAGCCAAGCACTATAAGGAACACTTACTGGGCTTGTTTTAGAGAACGCTGAAAAGCCAACTGTAGCTAGACCTGGTGAGTGTGTTCATTTGCCCCATTCATTCTAGCCAAGCTAACTGTACAGCAGAGAGCTTAGAAGCAGGCTTTTGTCCCTGTGATTGATTTGCTCTATGGGACCAGAATTCATTCATTCTGTTGCAAAGGGTTATTAAACACAATGTTTTTAGGTGCTGGTGCTTTAGCTAAGAAGAAAAGAGATGAAAATCCTTGCCCTTACAGAGGTAGTGCTACCCAGCTGTACGTTTCTAGAATTTAGCCATATAGCTTACTGTATCATAGTGGATGTCCTACTCGAGCCCAAGTTGGACTTTGAGTGTGACTGATCAACTGAGGTGGACACAAATGGGGAATGAGAGGAGAGACCTTGAGACAGGAGAAAGTCAAGCATAATGAGTTTTAACTCAGAAATATTTGGTCATTGGAAAAGAGGGTGAGTTCTGAGTCTTGCTCAGTGTCTGTCACTGGTTTTGCTTTTTATCTTGATTGGTGTGGAAAAAGCCTGTGAGGAGGGGAAGCCTTTTAAAGTAAAAACAGAGAAATTTGCCTAAAACTCTGCAAAACATTGATTGGACCACAACCAGCACTGACAATATAATGGGAGGTACCAAGTGTCTGTCACTGTGCTGAGAATTTTCTACCATTAGTCCTTTCATTCAGTCCTTTGGGTCTGGGATTACTTTTTCATTTTGGCTTTCTATTTAACATATAAAAGAACTAGGAAATCTTATAAGCAATTATCAGCAAAATCTCTTAAGGGAAATTATGGCTGTGAGAACAAGATAACAAGATAGCACATGGTCTAGGCTAGAAGTGCAAGAAATGAGCAAAGGGGGCACTGAAAGGTAGTAAGAAATTGCCACAGATGCATTCACTTGGTTTCCAGGCACACATAACAGTGGTCCGAGTGAACTTTTTAGATAACCTGGCATCTTTCTCCCATTTTCAACTCTGGAAAATTTTGAGTTAATCATTTGGCTTCTAAAGGGAAATATGAAAAATTGTTCAGGGATGAAAATCCCCTCAACAGGACTTAGAATTATATAGGGAGAAATCCAGTGTCATAGAATCTGTAGCTAAAAAAATTTTTAGAATTTTCTAGTCTTAATCACTTGATTTCAAAACTAGGTAAACTGAGGCTCAAGAGATTAAGGGACTTGTAAGCACTCATCCCCTGGGATAGTGGAAAGGACTGTGGTGTCATGCTGGATATTACTGGGACACAGACTAAGTTCTCACACTACTATTTGGCAGAGTGGGTTTTAGGCACTTGTATATAAATTCAAGCTTCCTGCAAAATGTAGGCACTTCTGCTAAGGGCAAGGGCGAGTTGACTGTAGTGTTTAAAAATGAAAAGAAAAACCAACACTGTGATGGCTGAGCATGGCACTGAAGCATGGGAGAAGTTGGTATGTCTGTTCTAAGCAGCAGAAACATAGATAGCTAGGTAGCTAATCTTGGCACCTCAGTAGGTCATTGCAGGAAATGTGCAATCATTTGTTCATTTGAATAATATTGAGTGTCAATGAAATTGCAAGACACAAACTGTGTAGACAGGGAGGCTACACAGGTGAACAATTTAGAATACCAGCTCTTGCGCAGTGCCCAGTCTTGAGGAATGCTACAAAGATATTTGATAAAATCCAATATCCATTTTCACTTAAAAAGATACATCATTAATTAACAATAGGAGGGAGAAATACACTATAAGATTAATAGTGATTATCTTATACTAATATGAGGAATGTTTAAAATTCTGTTACCATTTTTTCTGTATTTTCCAGTATTTTGTAAATTCTTTAAAATGGGCTATATTGTTTTATGTTCAGAAGTTTAAATTTGATATCTGGAATTTTTGAAGTCTTGAAAGGAGAAATATATTGCTTTTATACCAGACACCCACTCTCACATCATTAACTTTTATAGGACAAGTTCTATTTCCCGCAGCAGGAATGCCACTGCCAATGTGTAATGTCACTATGTTGACAGACACAAAGAATTGGCTTTTTCTATACAGACAAGATTCTTGAATGTTTGGCTTATTTTTGCTTTTAAGTGATGCAAGGAAAAGAATTTGAGGGTTTTAGCCCATTTTCTTCCTTTTTTCAGTCAAAGAGGCTTTATGTGACCTCCTATATAACTTAAAAATATTTACATATATCTTGGAATTTTAGGGAATACTCTCTTAGAAAAAGAGAGTTCATAGAAAAGCTATTTAAAAAATCACAACCATAAATAATAGTAGCCCATTCTAAGTGATATGTGCTAGGCAATTTTCCCTGCATTAATTCATTTCATTCCCACAAGAGTCCTTTGAGGCATGTACCATTATCCTATTTTACAGATGAGGAAACTGAGGCACAGTATAGTTAAGCTATTGAGAGGTAGACTCTGGATTCAAATTCGGGCACCGTGGCTCCAGAATCCATGTTCTTTATCTTTCTGTCACAGAGCCTCTCATAATAGATAGCAGGTCAGGTGATGAAGGTGTATCATCAGTATGGGTACAATCTGGAGACAGAAACCCAGTTATTTACATGGGATATGTAACATAAAACTTTATTAAACAATAATAAAAAAGTAACTATCATATATTTTTAAAAATCTTCTGTATGGTGCTCTGGAGCTGAGGGAGTTGAGGACAAATTTAAAATTGGGCCCTTTCTGGGGCGCCTGGGTGGCTTAGTCGGTTAAGCGTCCGACTTTCACTTAGGTCATGATCTCGCGGTTCGTGGGTTCGAGCCCCGCGTCGGGCTCTGTGCTGACTGCCGGCTCAGAGCCTGGAGCCTGTTTCAATCTGTGACTCCCTCTCTCTCTGACCCTCCCCTGCTCACGCTGTCTCTCTCTCTCTCCTAAAAATTAAAAAAAAAAAAACATTAAAAAAAATAAATAAATAAAATTGGGCCCTTTCTCAAAGCTGGAATTCAGAACTCATTAGAAAAAGTAGGGGATCAGCTAACTGGATGGCGGAAATCTGTTGGTTTGCCTGGCCAGACTTGGTCTGCGGTTGCTATGCAAGCAGGAAGCAATATACATGGGGGTGCAGCTGGTTTGAGAGCACACAGGCATAAAAAGGGAATGGAGTGCTAGTATAGCAGGTTTAGAGCATGTGATGTCCATGTCAGGAAGGCCACAAGCAAATGGTTACCAGGCCAGGCAGGTGAGGGTTCCCAGGGACTACATATTCTGAGAAACTGGTTGGAACAGAACATCACTAGATGCCCTCACTTCCAACTGCTGACTTCATGCAGCAACCAGGAAGAGTAAGAGGAGCAACACCCTTCCTCCTGCGGTGTTTCTCCAGCACTCTCTACTGAAAAAGCTTAATGCTATCCTCCTGTAGGGAAGAAATGTTTAAGGATTCATATCCATTATCACAGAGCAAGTATAGAACTAAGAGGCAACACACTGGTAAGTGGTACAGAGGGAACTCTGATCTGGTTATGCTAGTTGATAACATGCCTAATCCTGTTTTCCCAAGGACCTTTCACCTAGTGAGTAACCTAGACCTTGTGCTGGCAGTGTCTATGACCAAAGCAAGAAATGAAGTCTGTGGCTATCCAGTTATTGTTCAGGTAAGATATATATATAGGCTAAGTAGTAATCATGACCTTTTATTTAAGGTTAAGTAAAGCTCTATACTTCCGTGTTGTGAAGAAAGACAATGGCTGTCATAGAAACCTGTCTTGAATGCCATTGTTAAAATATTTACAATAGTCTGCCTAGATTTCAAATTCAACATGTTCATGTAGCTCTTAATTTAGTTTAATCCAACAGATGGTGACTGTGGGCTTGCTGCATGTCAGGAGCTATGCTAGTTACTTAAATCAAATCCAAGGGCAAGCATGCAAAATTATCCCAGTAACATTCATACAGTCTTAGCGGTGGGTATGGTCAAGTGAAGAGCTGTTAGATGCGTGTGCTTTAAGCTCAGTGATTGGGACATATGCAAGTCCTCTCTTACCTGGCATCTGAAGGGAAAGAGCACGGTCAGAGAGATCTTCCTGAAGGATGTGAACTCATATATGTTAATTCTACTGAGAGACTCATTTGAAATATACTTTTAACATACTTTTGCCAATGCTTACAGCAGTCAGACAGTTTTTGGAGATTTCAGAGAAATCTGGGCTCATCTGAGTTTTGTATAAAGATCTGTAGAGTTCTTTTTTCATGTCTATCTGTCATCCTTACTTATAACCAAAGACATTCTCTAACTGGACAAGTATTTGTCCTTGTTATGAAGAAAGAAAATTTAGGAGCACCCCTTCTCTGAATTTATTTTCTGTATTCTATACAGTATTCACCATCTTTTTGTTGAATAGAATAATTGTCTCTAAAATACACTTATTTTATTCCATGTTTTTAACAGCAATGAGGCAGCTTGTTTGGCAGGTCCTGAATCCATAATTGGGATAGAGCAATCTGGACAAATATCAAAGCTTAATTAAGTCTTCTACCCTGATGACAAATATGGACTAAAAATTTATTCTAGGAGACATAGTGTATATAACATTACATTCTTCCCTGTCAGGTGCCTCTTTGTCATGGGCCACAGTGAGATTAAAACCTCATGCAGATACAAATTTAGTACCTTAATCAGTTCCATAAAATTATAGATATTGACATTTCCCCCTAAGGTTCCCATTTTTAAGAAATGCATTTGATCTCAAGGTAATTTGTATTACTTTTCAAGATTTCTTTCTTTGCTGATATTTTGTTTTTATTTCTTGAAGCAATCAATTTGTGAGAAAATATTAAAGTTCATGTGAAATAATAAAAATGAGGCACACTAGACTAATGTTACTAGACCCACCGCCCCCCACTCTCTGTTCCTTGAAATATAGTCTTTGTTTTCCAGGCCTCTTAGGGATGCTCTATTGTCTGACCTATTAAATCAGTTCTTAAGACCCATTTATTTTCCTCTTTACTATCAATCTCTCCTTGGTAAAGGAAGTGCTATTCATTACAAAGTTCCTTGAGGTGTCATGATATGTTTAGTTGGAACTAATCTACAGGTTTAAGTTCTCTAAAATTGAAACTACTCATTTCTTTACTTATGCCTCAGCCAAGTTTTATAATTAGAAGAAAATGCTGTTTTTGTTACATATAAAACTGACTGTACTCATATTTAAAAAAAAAGCAATAACCTTTCTTGATAACCAGTAAAACATAAATTAAAATAACAACAAGGTACTATTTTTTATTTATTAAATTGATGATATTTGAGCAAGAATGTAAGGAAAATAGGCGATTTCTTATACTATTGGTGTAAGTGTAAACTAGAATAACCTTTCTAAAAAGCATTTGGATATGATAAAGCTTTATATATGTACCATAATATTTAAAAATTATCTTGTTATTTTTACCAGCAATTGTACTTAAGTTTGTTCTAAAGAATTTATCATGTATTTACATGAAAATCTATTTATGATTGTTGATTGTTCTTTTGTGTATAATAAGGAAAATCTGAGAAGCAATCTAAATGCTTCCCATCCAAGACTAACCAGGCCTGACCCTGCTTAGCTTCTGAGATCAGACAAGATAGGGCGCGTTCAGGGTCGTATGGCTGTAGACGAAACAATCTACATGTTTAACTACTGGGGACTGGTAAAGTAAAACATCACTGAGATTAAATAGTATATATATCCTTTTAAAATATTAGGAAAAGTTTCATAGAATTAAAAAAAAAAAAAAAGCCCATGATCCTGAGATCAAGACCTAAACTTAGATCAGGAGTTGGACACTTAACTGACTGAGCTATTGAGGTGCCCCATGGAATATTTGTAAGTTTTAAAAAAAAATTAATGCAATTACCAAATTGTATGCATTTTCTGATTTCATTTTTGTAAATCAAAGAATGCATACTTATAAATAAGAAAAATGTGTATATATGATTATCAAATGTAACTAGTAGTTATTACAATGTAATAGATTGATAATTATCTATACTTTTTGAATTCATGCAATGAAATATTTGACAGCTATAAATAAATCATAAACTCTTCCATCTGTTTTACTCCATATTTCATCCTTTTTTTCCAGAAATATAAACCATATAATAATGGGACTTCCAATCAAAAGTGGAATTACATCGAAACTATCAAAGCTTTTATGGCCTTTCATAGCACTTCACTAGATAAGGAAGTCACAGCAGCAAATTATGCTGGTATTTGTACATCCTCCGTGATTAAAGAGGAAAACATTGATCAACCAGTAAGTGGTTCTTTTTCACTAAGGATAAAAGAAAAACAGGAGAAAATGGAGTAATTTAATAAAGCCAGAATTTTTTTTCTAGAAAACCTCATATTCACACAAATTAAACACTGATTTGTGAATGAAATAATTTAGACTCTGTGATTCTGGTTAGGAAACAATGAAGAAATATTGGTATTACCTACTGTTTATATTGTTTCAATGGCTCCCTGTCATTACCACCATCTTTGGTCCATCATCAGTTTACCAGAACACTCATGAGTGAAGATAATCACACCTACTACACTCCCACAGGTATGCCTGCTACACTAAATGTCACTCTACTAAAGAAAGCATAATAAAATCCAAATGATTGTAAGTGACTTTACCTATATTGCATTATACCAAACATAAGTCTAAGTGGAATACCTATACTCTAATTTCTAAGGAAATAATTCTTGATTTGGTCCTATAATTTTTATTAGTAAGGAATTGCTGGATACTTTACAAATACCTGAGGGATTTGTGGGTCAGTATGTCAAGCTTATTGATAAATATTGGCCTGCAGAAATCTCATAATGCACACTACAAGATTCTCCAAGATACTCTTTACTCTGCTTCTCAGACATCTCTAAATAGCTGCCTCTTCTCCTTCACCCAAAATTTCCTGCTTTGCTAAATAATTTACATTTGTCCAAATTTACCATACCATTTTGCATGTCTTTGGTTTCGACTATGCTATCCTCCTGGCAACCCTTTTCTCCTTTGTCCGTGAACTCATACCAGTTAGGAAATATGCTGTCAAAGACTACCAAGCTCATCTTAAAAGGAATCAAGTCAACTTTAAATACTCCCAGCCCAAAGACAAAACAATTTAAGCATCAGTGGGAAAGATTGACATACATCAGATATGTTTAAATCCATATGTTCATACTGATAAGAATAACAATAATTCATTGATCACAATTAGATGATGCTAAGGAACCAAGTAGTTACTTTGACAACTAGGAAATAAAGAATCAAGCATTTATTTTTTTTCCTTCCTTTATAAACTGTATGTTAGGAAAACAAAATAGTAGATGAGAAGTTTCACTCCATAGGAATTCATTTCCAGTTAAGAAATGAATAAGGCATGAAAAATTTGGGATGTCACTATGTTGTGAACTTTGATAAAGTAATTGATCTAGCCAATGATTAACAGTAGCTAATAGTATTACAGAGACACAACAGGTAACATGTACCCCTTGATGGAAGTACTTAGTACCACTTATGAAGTGTTCCTCCCCACAAAAACGTGACTGGAATTTAATCAAGTCTTTCATTCTAATAATTTACTAGACATATAGGAGATAGAAGAAGTTGATAAAAGACATTTGTGTAACCACGTAATCAGCAAATCTTAACTGACAAAAAATACAACAAACAAATTACAATAAAAGTAAAAAGAGAGAAAGAGATATAGGAGGAATATAGTGATGGAAAGAAATTTAAGAGGTATATAAACCAGTTATAATGTATTGACTTCATTTTGATTCTATTTCAAACATATTTGTAAGAGAAGGAGAGAGATGACTAGAAATTTGAATACTGACTAAATATTTCATTATATTAAGATATTATCATTGCTAGTTTTAATTATGATATTATAGTTATGATAAAATAATTTTCATCTTTTAGAAATACATACTGAAATATCTAAGAATGAAGTGATATAATGCCTGGGATTTACTCAAAGTAATCTAGGTAGGAGTGGGTGGGAATGCAGATGAAACAAGATTGGTAGTTATTGATAATTGTTGAAGCTGGGTGAATGGTAGAGGGTGGTTTATCATACATTGGTGTATGATTGAAATTTTCCAGAGATTGTACAACTCATGTTTTTATTGAAAGAGATAGGAAAGGAAGAACTGTTCAGCTGTTGGGAAAGAAAAGGAGAGAGCAATTACAGTGATAGATGGTGGAATTGAGGGTGAGTTTTAGAGGGTGGTGGCATGAAAGGTGTGAGGGACAGTAGAAGAGTGGCTGTGGGTTGAGGTCTCAGTGGACATCTTGGTGTTCTGCTGTAGAAGAGGTTGATACTTTAAGTACCAGAATTTTCTACTTGACCATTTTGTTTAGAAACATGCTGGTTCCAGTGCCACACATCAGATAGTTGGCACGTGGGTTTTACTCTGAACTCCTCCTAAAATCATACATGCAACTTGCTTTCTCTAAGATAATTCTTGAAGGCCATTTGCTGCCATTGATGCTTCTTGCTGATCAGCATAGAAGATACATCAGCATGATTCCAATGCAATGTAAAATGGGTCTTTTCGCCAAATGAGATCTTTAAGCAGAAGCTCAAACAGCCTTCTAAGGTCGTTTTTATATTTAAACAGTTTCCACTTTCAATGGCTTCATCAATAACTTCTGGTTTGTAATAGCAATCACAGCACTCTTATTTCATCACCAGTAAAGTCCTCAATTTCCTGGACCACACAATCCATTTATTAGTTAATTGTATTTAGTGGCCATCTTGTGACTTTGGCATATTTTCCCTACAAGCCTTTAAAACTTGGTTGGATTTTAGTGAATCTAGACAAAATGCAAATTATTTTTGCTAACTCCTATTACATCCAGATAGTAATTGGGGAAGCTGATTATGGGTTCATGGAGGTTCACTATACTGTGCTGTTTTGTATGATTGAAGTATTTTATAATTAAAAAAAATAAAGAAGGAAGTCCTAGAGTTTAGGCCTTAATGATTATAAAACTAGTGCCTTTCTTTTAACCATATAATAAAGATGTTCTTTTATTTATGTTAACCAAAATACAACTTCCCACTTTCTAACAATGATTTGCTCCAAAAGATTAAGTGATAGCCTGTCTGTTAGAAGTTAATATGATTAATCTGAAGAGTACAATAATATATCAATTCTGAGATTGATTCACAGATTAAAACCTTCTCCTGGGCCAAGGAGAAATCTACTCATTGTACAAAGTCTCTAGGCCAGTGGTTGGTTCTAATCTTTTTTGAGATACAGACTTTGAGCACTTCATAAAAATTATGCATATTCTTTTCCTCCAAAACACACATATGAACACAAACACCTTTCATACAAGCTTTAGGGAGTTTGTAGACTTCCCTTGAAATCCATTTGGGATGTAAGGTAAGAACTCCTTTTCTAGATCTTATCCTAATGGATAGTTTAGAAAAAGAAAGCAAATATGAAGTAACTATTACATGCTTGATAGCTACTATATGTTACATACTGATCAATCTTAGTGATTTTCACACGTTATCTCATTTAAATAATAAATATAATGAAGACACTGAATAATTTATTCACAATCACATTACCTACTATACATATAGTACAGTCATTATTGATCAGACTAATCCCATGTAATAGACCATATGTCTATAAGGCCAAATGAACAGACCAAGTTAGTTATTTCAATAAATCAAGGAAATTTTATAGAAAAAAGAATTAGTCAAATCAATTCCCTAGTATTCTGCACAGAATACCAGTAGCTGACTTACTGAACTTTTAAATAAACTCTGAGTTCTACAGGCATAGTTAGCCTGGGAACTCCCCAAATGTATTGCACTTTTCTTTCCATCAGCAGTTTCCAAGCAGTATTAAGTGTAAATGAATTAATGAAAAATAGTTTACATTATGTATGTACCATTGCCAAAATAGAACAACTCAGAGATCATCAAACCTGTAGCACCACAGTGGTGGGGATTGATGCTTTAATGAATGAAAAATACAGTTTCCAGATACTTTCAATGGGCTTCTTTAGTATAATAAGGAAAATTATTGGCACACAAGTATCATGAAACCCATGCTTTTCTATGGAAATGATTCTGCACATAATATTCATTTCCATCTAATCAGGGATGTTTTAATCTTCTGCCTTTCACTGATGTGTAGAAAAATGGAAGTTGTATGTACATATAGAGAAATCCATAGTGGAATTTAAGAATTACATCCTCAAAAGTATCACTTAAATGTTGGCTTTGAATTGATTTAACTCTATGTACTTAAAGGGAGTAGTTGAAGCAATATGACAAAGGCAAAAAAAGCCAAGAACTTGGAATCAGGAGTAAGTTTTATACTTCATTTCTGCCATGTACTACTTAAGTATCCTTGTATGAAAACTTCCCTCTTTTAGCTTTTGTTTCTTATCTATAAATTGATTGAGAATGGTATTAACTCTGGGTTTACTTAACTTTTAGCCTTGTGAGGAGCAAAGCAAATTAGAGAGTCTATATAAAAGTACTTTAACATTTTATTATGGTGATTTTCATGCATATTAAAAATATAATAGTACAATGAATCCTCATATATTTGTCATCCAAATGTAACTATTATCAAGGTTTTACAAAATTTACAAACCCCAGAAATGATACTATTTCACCTTAAACTTAAACATGCCTCTAAAAAATTGGAACATTTTCTTACATAATTATGCCATTATCATACCTATCAAAATTAATAATAGCACTTCGGCTATCAAGTACCCTGTTCTTAATCAAATTTCCTAGGTTCTCCTAAAAAATTCTTATTGTTGGTTGGTGTGAGTCATGATTCAAACAAGTTCCTTGTATGACATTTGGTTGTAGAATCTAGAATTGTCCTATAGAATGCCTCTAATTTGGATTTGTCTGTTGTCTGTTTGTACTTCCTGTGGCATTTTTAAACTTGTTTCTCTAGGCTACATGACTCCTGTAAAAGGAATTTAACACTAGAGTTGTAATTAGATTTATGTTCAACATTTTCTGACAAGAATTGTCATGGGTGTTATGCTATATTTCATATTGACCACTTATGCAGGGGTACAATGTCTGGATTTTCCATTTTTAAGGATAATATGTATAAGTGGGCATGATCACAACGTAATCTCACATGTAACAAATCTCACAATGATTTTCCATCTAGTGTCACTCTTTGGTTATCATTCCTTAAATCAGTTATTTCATTCAGAGTTTCAAAAGGGTCAATATTAGGGGTGCCTGGGTATCTCAGTCAGTTGAACATCTGATTCTTGGATTTTGGCTGAGGTCATGATTACAGGGTCATGACATCAAGCCCCACATTGACCTCCACATTGAGCATGGAGCCTGCTTAAGATTCTCTCTCTTTCTTCACCCACCCCCTTCCCTTGCTCCATGCTCTCTCTCTCAAAATAAAAGAGGTGTCAGTTTTGTCTAATTCTGTCATTTTCCTCAAATTGATTAGCTGAACTTATTTTTTTAGTTTTATTTTTTTAATGTTTATTTATTTTTCAGAGAGAGTGACAGAGTGTGGGCAGGGAAGGGGCAGAGAGAGAGAGTGAGACACAGAATCTGAAGCAAGCTCCAGGTTCTGAGCTGTCAGCACAGAGCCCCCAACACAGGAGCTGAACTCACAAACCGTGAGATCACGACCTGAGCAGAAGTCAGACATTTAACTGACTAAGCCATCCAGGCACCCTATTAGCTAAACTTTTAATGTAAGGAAGAGTTTCAACGAGATTTATCCTCTTCAACTAGGTATTTGAGTACTCAAAAATATGGTTTGTAAGGGATGGTAGAATAAATGTTTATTCTTTCTATCTCACTTCTTTCTTGTGGTATATAATAAACAACATGAAAACTTAGTGGCTTAAACCAAGAACTTTTTTTTTTTTATCTGTTGGCCCATAATTTGGGCTGGGCTCAGTGGGGCAGCTCTGCTGGTCACTAATGTGACCCTAATATGTAGTCATCTTGTGGTATGTTAGTAGGTTGGTGGTTCTATGGGGGCTGAGTGGCTAATGATGGTCTTCACATGTCTAGAGGAGGTTAGCAGGCAGTTAGCTGGGGTTCTTGGTTCTCTTCAAGGCTTCTTACATAGGCTAGCTCAAATGTGTTCACACTGTGGTCTCAGGGTTCCACTTGCAGCCAAAAGAGAACAAGCTCCAATGTGCTAGCACTTCTTAGGCACCTGCTTGCATCATCACATTTACTAGTGTTACATTGGCCAAAGCAAGTCACATGCCCTTGCTCAGATTCAAGGAAAGGACAAAGGAGAAAGATTTCTTGATTGGAGGAGCAGCAGTCACATTTCAGAAGGACATGCAAACAAGGATGGGGAGGTTTTATTGTGACCATCTTTGCAAATAATCTGCCACACTTTCTACTGGCCAGTTGTCAGAGTTATCGATTGGTGTCAGTTTACTTCGAGTGGACTCCAATAAGCTGTGGTTTTGTTTTTGTTTGTTGTTTTTTTAATTGTTATTTTTACTTACAGTTGTAGCATCATTATGAACTCATGGGATTTATATATTTAAACGTTATCTATAGTATTCTTTTTGTTGTTTCCAAATTGTCCCTGTTTGGGCCCATGGAGTCTCCTTCATGTTGGTTCTTGTGTCTTTTTAACATGACTTCTTTACTTCTGGATGGCTTCTTTTCTTTCCAGGCACTACAAGACATCACTTGCTTATCTTATATATTCTTGCCCCAAATGTGTAACTTGCTATTCCTCTAAGAAACTCTGATTCTTGACATAAGTTATACTCATTGATGTTGAATTGTCATTGCCACTAGTCTTTTTCAGTCAACAGAATTTAGAAATATGTTTTTTTTTTAGTATAGTTATTAGGGAGCAAAATAATGCATTCATGTTGAGATTTCAAATTTAGCATTTGTGGATTATATAAGAGCTTTATTTGTATTGTAAAGTATTCTACAAAAACGCTATCATAATTTAGATGTGCCTACATAAAAACATTTTTGTTCCTTTTTTTAGGGATACTATTATCTCTCACCCACTGGTAAGAAGAAAATTGTGCTCTGCTTAGCATGTGGACAATCCATGAGAGGAGAGAAGAAACTGAAACAGTCACTTCCAGGGATGCCATTCCTCTGTGCCTCTGGCTCCAAGACCCAGAAGCCCTTCTCACGAGGGCCCTTCAAGGTCATCAGTTTGGCAAAGGTGTGTAATGACCTGAACTCTGCTAAACATGTGTGGCATCACTTTGGAAACTTCGATGCATTCATTATCTGCCTTGCACTCAAGTTCATCTCCACTCATCCAATTCATCTTCCTCTGATGCATCTTTACCATTCCACCTGCATTGATTTCCTTTTCCCCATTGTAATTTAAAATACATTGTCTATTAATAGCTTGATACACTCTTTGAAGTTAATTGGGCACTTCTGCGGCTTTAATCATCTACTGACACCTTCCACTGCTCTCTGTGTTGCTTTTAGATGAAGAAACAACTGCAAATCTTTACTTAGCGGAGCAGCTTTTTTGTCTATATTCACAGGGAAAACTTCTTTTTACTAGTATGGAACATTTCAGGGGGAATTTGACATGTTGTTAATGACTGTTCAGGTTGGATGCCTGAATTCCTGCATCCATGTCTAATACTATTTATAGCTGTTGGAGAAAAAAAAAAATCTCTGCCACTTTCCTGTGATCTTAATTTAAAATGGCACCATTTTAAAAATCCCCTCCTTCAAGTTTAGAGTAAGATGTGCTAAGGGGAACTTACACATCTATATAAAAAGGAGCAATTCCTAAGAGAAACCTTCCAACTTGAGTGTGGTCTCTGAGGCTTGCCCAGTCTATTTCCAGATATCTTTCCTCTTTCCCCTAAACCAGATACACAGTGCAGGATGGGAGCAGTCTGGAGGGGACAGGAACAGTTGCAATAAACATTAAGTGCAACAGTAACTGTGATGGAGAAAGAAAGTCCTCTGGGGAAGTCTGAAGGCATTTGGCTTTGCTTTAGTGATGATGGGGTTAGGAGGTGGTGGTGAGCTGATTGGAAAGAATCTCCAATGTTACAGCATCTCAGACAGAATTTTTCCCTCAAAGCAGCATCCTGAGTAGGGTTTGAAAGGGAAGGGTGACATGTGATATTCACCACGCTTATTACTGTGTTGTGGGAACTCAAATAGCTATGTCCTGGCGTAGGAGATTGTAGGGAACTCATTGCAAAGCAGAATACTGGTTTCTGGACTTGCAGAGAAAACAGTGGGAGGGTATCTAGTTAATGTATATATCGGGGTTGGGTCCTGCCCGTGCCCATGAATTCCTTAGACCATGTTATCTATGGAATGTCTTATCTTGTTCTCCACCCTGCTTTCTGCATCTGCTCTTTTGTAGTCTTGGGAACGCATTGCTTTTCTGCATTCTTTCTGTAAGTTCTTATTGGTACATAGCCCACTGGCGTATTGCACAATATTTCCCTGAATGTATGCTTAATAAATATGAAAGCTTGACAGCAGCTAAGGAAGACTTCACTTAGCATCCCTCTTACCTCTCTTGATTTGCAGAGTCTTGAGGAATCCCTTCTTGCCATCTGGCTTTGCTGGACTAAGCCAAAAGCTGAACCCATCCTGTGTGGTTAAGACTGCATTCATTCGCCTCCCCATTCTTCAGTCAGCCACCACAGGATGGGATCAAAGACTAAGAGAATATCTGTGGTGCCAGCATCCCGTTACTTCTCTGGTCCTGGCATCCTTCTTCCCCAACTCCTGTCACAGGAGAAGGCAAAGTAGAAAACAGGTGTAGCCCAGAAATACAAACCAGAGGCCTACAGTCACCTAAGGACTCAATGACAGGGCTGGAAAGAGAACTGAATTCTGACTCAATGTTCTTCCCACTGTGGTATCCAATACTTATAGCATGTGGAATAAGCATTTCAAAATTTAGATACCACACACATGTACATGCAGATATTTATTAAATTAAGAGACCCAAATATACCAAAATAACAGAAACTAAAATAAAAAGCTTGAGTAGACCTCTGTTTCATTTTGTCTTAATCAGGCTGATTTATCTTCTTATGAGGCTGAGAAAACGCTAAGTTATTATGAAGAACGTCTGTTATCTTTACGGATGAGGACTTGCACGCGTGTTATATCTCATATTGGTGTAGCAGCTATGCACCAGAAGGCAGTGAAAATAATTGCATACAAAAATGGAGATGGATATCGAAATGGGAAGTTAATTGTGGCTGGAACATTCCCCACAGTAAGTGGCTATCACTTAAATGTTTCTTGCATCCTCAGAGGTAATGATAATAGTGATTCTTCTGACAAGAAGAAAGCAATGGGATTGAAAGATAAATGTCTTTGGCCAGTTTCACTAATTTAAGCTGATGAGATCAAGATCTGTTTTCCTAAAGATACTCTTTTTTATGGTACTTCTTTGGATACAGACTCAGAAAAATGAGAAACCAAAACATGGTTTCTCGATTGGCTCCATAGCAAAGATTTATAAAAGCAGGGGGAGCTAAAGCTAGACAGAATTCCTCTGTTTGTTTGTTTGTTTGTTTTTTGCCTTCCTTCCCATTCTACCTTCAAGTTGTATGTCATTTGAATATTCTAAGAGATGCTACTTCATTTATCATTTGGGAAAAAATGAGCATTTATTTGTTGACAGGTTATTTCACTTCATTCTTAAATTGGAGAAGCAAGAGTTGTGTTAGGAAGGAATATGTGGTACCTGTCGCAGAGGCTCCTCCTTAGAGTCACAGGAAGGAAGGAGAGCTCAAAAGGCCCAAACCCAGCTTTGTCCTTCCATTGTTAGGTGATTATCTTGTCTATATATTCTGGGCAGTGCCTTTAGCAGCATATTTTACAAGCAATGTTAAATATGACACAGAGTACTCTGGAGACCTTGCAAACACACACATATACATCTACTCATTCACTTACCGTTTTGGATGAATACAAATAGCTTTTTTATTAAGATATTGTTCCATGGACCAAGAAAATCACAAAAGTTACCAACTCCAAGATTCATCCTGAGCTCCACAGTTGGATTCTGTAGTCTTGGGCAAAAATGTTAACCTTTCAGCCTGTTTTCCTATCCACAAAATGGAAGTAATAATGTGTCAGTTCGGGTTTGAAAGTCAACTACTCATTTATTTTAAAGCAGTTCATTAGTGTGAAGTGTTAACTTTTATTCATTATAAAGCAACAAAATTGAAAGTGGATCTTTAAGTTGAACACTTCTTAGAAAATAAATACTCTGAAGATAAAATACGTTAATTGATTAATGATTAAGTATATCAGCTGCTGTGGTATAGTTTTGGGGCTAATTTTCACAGCTCGAGTGGACTAATTTCATGAAATTATATCAGACAATCTAATATAAAAAACTATCTCTAACGAAGATCAAATCAGTAGTTATTCACTTTTCTATTTTCCCAAATTAAAGGATTTTCTCAAATTTCTAAGATAATAAGCTCTTCACAATTATTGCCAGCTCTATCACTATTTAGTCTCATCAGTTCCTTACAGTCTTTGTCATTTAGCTTCTTACAGAATGCACGGAGCAGCTGGGTCTTGCCAGAGCAGCCTCCAAAGTATATACCAAAGATGGGACCACAATCCTTTCCTTACGTGATTTGGTTTTATGGGCTCTGGATGAATCTTTTATCCAGAGAAACACTGAGGAGCAAAAGGAGCAAAAGGCAGCCGCTATGGGAACAAAAGAAACAACTATTAAAAGTATAAAAGGTTGGTTGTCTTCTACAAATCAGAATTTAGTTGATTCTCCCTATTTTTATCATAAAAAAGTTGAATGTAGTTCTTTGATTCAGTCTCTGCTTCTACAATTACAAAATGACAGATTGCTACTCTCATGTGAGGTTCTCATATTGTTTTTACTTTGCAGAATAACAAAAAAAATTTTTTTAAAGGATGTAAATTTGGTGTCAGCACCAAAACAGTAAATAAATCGCCTCAAATGTATAAAATATGTTTGATAGTTTAGCTGCTTTATGTAACACGAGCAGCTTTTGTTATTAAATTTAAAACCAAAACCAACTGGAGACCACTTAAGAAAGTGTGGCCGGATCAATGCCCCAGTGTCCTTATGTGCACCTGCCCATCTCCACTGCTTCTCTAAAACTCCCAGAAGCTCCAGTGAAAGCACCTGTATTATAGCTGCTAGCACTCTGTATTATAATGAATCTGTTTACATCTTTATCTTTGTGTTTCATTAACTATGTACAACTTGAGAACAGGGACAAACTATGTCCCCATCAGTGGTTTGCTAAATGAAAATGAGTCTTGCTTACAGTGATTGACCAGAGTGATCTCAGCTTTCCATTGTTGTACTGAGAGTCATCATTTAAAGGTTAAGAATTTGGGTTTTGGAGCTAGAATACCAGGGTTCAGATCTTACTCTGTCACTTCCTAGCTGAATCATCTTGGGCAAGTTGTTTAAACTCTTGTACCTCAGTTTCCTCATTTTACAAATTTTAAACTGATGGTCATGTAAATGTATACTCATTTGGTCCTTATAGGTATGAATGTGTGTTCATAAGAGTATATATGAATAGGAATTTACATATAAATGTGTATGTCACTTGGAGTAGTGTCTGGTTGATGTTTACTAAACATCCAGTGAATATTAACTATCATTATTGTGTATAGAATTGAGTAGGGAAAACCCACTCTTCCTCCTGTGTGTCTCTTCTTTACTCTCACATTCTTTTCACATTCACACTTCCGACAACTGATGTGTGGTTTTTATCCTCCACACCAAGCAATTCTGCAACACCAGCTGGGTGTCCTATAATTTAACTCAATTCTGCCACTATCTACCTAGATACAACATCAGATAGCACAGGTTAAGAGCTCGGTCCCACAAGACTGCGCCTCCCACCACCTCTCATTTCAGATGTCCAGACCTGTGGTTCTGACCAATTGGCTTAAATTGGAAATTCCCATGACTCCTTCCTTCAGTTTGGTTAATTTGCTAGAGCAGCTTCCAGAACTCAAGGAAATGTGTCTACTGGTTTATTATAAAAGGATGTGATAAAAGATACAGATAAGCGTTCAGGTGGAAGAGATGAGTAGGATAAGGTATGTGGGAAGGGGCAAAGAAACTCCATGTTCTCTCTAAGCCTGCCACTCCTCTCCTACCAGCTCCCAGTGTTTACCAACTGAGGAAGTCTCCAAATCCTGTGCTTCTGGGGGTTTTATGGAGACTTCATCATGTAGGCATGATTGTTCACTAATTCCATGTCCAGGCTCTCCCCTCTTTGGAGAACGAGGGTGCGGTGAAAAATTCCAAAGTTCTTTTTTTTTTTTTTTTTTAAACATTTATTCATTGTTGAGAGACAGAGAGAGTCGGAGCACAAGCAAGGGAGGGTCAGAGAGGGAGACAGACACAGAATCTGAAGCAGGCTCCAGGCTCTGAGCTGTTAGCACAGAGCCCGACGTGGAGCTCAAACACATGAACTGAGAGATCATGACCTGAAGTCAGACACTTAATCGACTCAGCCACCCAAGCACCTAAAATTCCAATGTTCGAATCATGGCTTGGTATTTCTGGTGACCAGCCTTCATCCAAGAGTCTGTTGAAAGTCATCTCATTAGAAAACAAGATATTGCTATCATCTAAGAAATTCCAAAGGATTTAGGAACTCTGCATCAGGAATCAGGATCAAAGACAGAAAGAATCACTTAGAAAATTAAAAGAAATTTAGATGCTCTCTGCCAGGAACTTGTGGCAGAGAGCATATATATTTTTTCTATTATTTCACAATGATATTATTTGTTCTGTTTTCTAATGAGTTATTAAAAATAATTATGTGACCTTATAACGCCTAGCTGATCATTAAAGCATATAGTTTGACCTTTACTTGGCATATAGATATCTGATCTCTAGGTCCTGGAATATTATAATCTCAAAGGCTCTTCTTTTGCAATTGTTATTTAAAACTTGGCTGGGAGTAATGTTATTCATGCTGAACTACTAAAAGTGTGTGGCCATCCCTTCCTCTCTATACTCTAGAGGTTATTCTTGAACAAGCTGGTCTATTAGCAGGCAGCCCCCTTTAATTGAATTGTGGCTTGTGTTATGCCATCAGTTTGCGTTGATGAACTTAAAAAAAACAGGCATTAGTCAGAAACTCAGTATCATGTTTATTATGGAGACAGTGGTAATGGGTACAAATTCTGGAGGCATATGGCCTGGTTTCTAATCCTGGCTCTGCTCCTACCTAACAATGTGACTAAACTTCAGTTACTTTGTGAAAAAAGAATGGACCTACCTCAAAGTATCAATCTGAGAATTACATGTGATAATGTATGCAGAGGTCTTAGTGAAATGTCCAGCATGTTAGAAGTTCTGACTATTGTTCATTTCTACTGTAGGATACTGTTTGCTCTCTCACAAATAACCCCTATATGAAGATTCTGAAATAAATTACTCTCAGATCTCAGGAACCGGGAAAGTTGTATCTTCTGAGGAATTTATCACTCTGTGTGGGCCATGTGAATCTTGATATTGTGTTTGAATATCAATGAATCTTTGCTTGGGCCACTAGGATGCTCAGAAGCCAAACTGTGCTTTACCTCTAGCAAATGGAAACACTGTGGTTTTCATAGCCATTTAATAATAAAAATATTACCTAGCATTTTTTGGATATTTGTCCAGTTAATTAGGCCAAAGACTATTTACTCTAAATACTTACCTTTTTTTCCCTTTTAATCTTCCCAACAGCAGAATGAAATAAACACTATTATTCATTTAAAAGATGAAGACACTGTAACATTTTATCTCTGGCTTTAGTCTAGAAAGGCTTTCCTCCTTTCCTTACTTTTCTTATCTTTTTACTTTATTCCTTTTCAGAGTAGCTATTTTGGTAGACACCTCAGATTTCTGTCACAACAAGGTGAAGTGTAAGAAAGGAATCTAAAAGTGTATTTCCAATCAGATTAGTTTAAATTATTTGATTGCATATGAAGTTTCTGGTCAAATTTATGTGTTTGGCTTAGGTATTGCCTGTTTAAATCAAGTCATTAATAAGAAAAGAAATCTTTTGAATAAACAATGAACTTAGGAGGCAAATTTATTCATTGTGCAATGGTGAATGTGTCATTTGTTTCCTAGAAAACCCAAGAATGAAAGAGAAAACCAAATTATTTCCAAAGTCTGTGACATCTGATACTTTGGATGGTGTAGATGAATCTTTGCTCACTCTCATCCTCAGAAATCCCATTGCCATTTGGGTATCATGTGGTGAACCATTTCTATCCCCAAGTGGTAAGTTTTTTGTTTTTGCTTGCTTTCAAGCAAGTGTATAAAAGAAGGAGAAATACATTTTATGTCACACTAAGAATCAAATGTGTACAATGTCAACATAATAACATCACATTTATGCAAAGAACAGGAGGTCCATCAATTAACATGTGCACAAGGATAGCTATGCTCCTTTATTTGCAGATTTGCCTGTTTTTTCTTACTGGAATGGAGTATTCTGCATGGAAAAATGTCTAATTTAGTTGATAAAGAGATCTTTGGTCTATAAGACTGAGAATAATGGTATACATTAGAAAATAACAAATGAGTTTAATTCACACTGAAGACGACCTGTCTGCACATTTTCATTTTTAAGAATTGCACCCTTTAGGCAGTAGGTGGATGTTTAAAAAATGAATGGTTCCAAGCCAGGCTTTCATCACCTCCAAATAGTTTGTAAAAGTGGAAAATGAAATATGGCTATTGCATATGGTAAATCTATATAATAAAACAGCACTGTTCTTCTTTTTTTTCCCCTTCTCCATTCCATAAAGAAATGCCTTAAGCCCTGTCATCTTTCAAATGAGGTTTCTTTTAATGACCCTTACCTTTTAATTACTTACTTCTAATTGAATCTATTTCTTGCAGCAGAAAGTTCTTTATAAATTATTGGCTTGCATGATAAATTACTGTTGATAACACAATGCAGGATAAAACATCATGTATTTTTTTTTTTCTAGCTTTGCAGAAAGCAGAAAAATTAGAAAAACAGAACTGGCTAAAAAGGGACAAAATTTTGGCTGATCTAGACACCATGAAACACAAAATGAGACAGTTAAAAGGTCAGTATGAACTAAATCAAGTATCACCGTGTTTAATTCTAAATGAAACCCTAATTTGCTCATAGGTTTTTCCTACTATTAGATACCAGATGTTTAACTGAGTACCAAAACTATTGTGCTACAAGGGTCACTTGAACAAGTCTAAAACCTAATATGTATCTTCCAGTACTGATTTTATATTTGTAACTTTTATATTAAAATGAATATCACATGAGTTATAGGTAAATTTTTAAATTAGGAGAATGTCTGGGTCATTTAACCCATATGGTGGGGTTGAAACATTGCTGAACTGACATTTTGTGGGCTTTGAAATTTGTTCTTAAACAAAACTTTCTGTGTATTCCTTGAGTATTGCTGGGGACGAAATGTTTTGTTTTTTGTTGTTGTTTTCTATTTGTTTGAATAATCTGAGTGAGGAAGTACTAAATTCTTCAAAGGTCAGTGTCACTATCTCACAAGGGCCTATGCTTGTTATGCAGCATAAATATGCTATTCTTAGTCAAAGTAATCAATTGGCAATGTTTGTTCTAGTCTTTCATTCTCTTTGTCAAAGAATCTTAGGTTCTGGACCTTATACTCTTCCTAGCACTTGAAATACTAGATGGTTCTTTGAGGGATAAGCAGTGTATTGTGTGCTTTAGTCTGGAAAGCAATACATTTCTGTAATTGCTGTAACAGGATTTCAACGTGCACTGTCAACTGTCAACAGCATGCAAATTTTATTTCAGTAAGCAACACAACTACTCGTAAATACACTAGACAGAACTCTGGATTGAAATCACTATTATTCAGTTCTTACCAAAAGAATTATTGGGTCTAAATGAAAAACATCTATCATGACTGAAAACCTCTACTTCAACTACTAGACATTTTCACTTGAATGTCCCATAAGCGTGTCCAAAACTAAAGTTATCATATCAGTACTACTCCAAATACTACCACTTCATTTTTTTTAGGCAGTGCATGCCACCATCATCCACCCAGGTGTTCCATCTTAGAAACCTGGGAATCATCCTTGGCATCTCCCTCTCTCTCACTTTCTCTAAGCAAATATCAGTAAGTACAGTTGCTTTCAATTTATTAAGTTTATCTCAAATGAATTCTGTCTTAATCCCCAACTGTATTATCTAAATTCAAGCTATTGGCATCTATTCTTTGGATTACTCGAACAGCTTCGTAACTTGTCTCCCTGCTTCCAGTCTTAACAGTAGTTTCTATTCTATGCTAATGATGATATTCTAAAGCTGGAATGATCATGCAAAAATATGAAGGTATCATTGGGGCTCCAGGCTTAAAACCTTTCAAAGCTCCCTATTCTCTTTAGGACAATGAAACTCCTTAAATGTGGTCTTGCACCATTCAGTTCTGTGTAAGTTTCTTTCTTTCCTTATTCACTCCAGTCCACCAGTTGGATTGTTTTTCAGTCCTCCAGACACTTCAGGCGCTGTCTTAACTCTGAACTTGGGGAACAATTTAGTTTCCTCAGCCTCAAACTTCTCTCTCTCGTCGCCTTGAATTACTTCGACTCATTATGTACTTTTCAGCTTGTTATTCTTCCTAAAAGCCTTCCCTTTTCCATGTTAGGAATAATGTGGTTCATCACACCTTAAACTTCCCCTGTGATAATCGTTATCACATTAATATTATTACCTGGTCATCTGACTGTCTTCCCTATGATACATTATAAATTCTACACCCTTCCTATTTGCTCTGTGAATAGTTGTAGAATGACTAAATTAAAGAATGAATGGAATTTCAACCATTCACTCCACTGAGTTTTCTAAGGTCTATTCCTAAATCAAATTGAATCGATAAAAAGCAACATACTAAAAATAGCACCTGGCAGAGATGCCTTTACTGTATTCTGATTTATATCATGTATTCAGCTTTTAATATCATTAAGTATTAAAAGAGCGTTTAAAGTTAAGTTGGTATTATCTACAATATCACTCTTAAAAATAGTCTGTTTGGTCAGATGGTGTCCTTTATGGAGGAATCCATTAATGAAATTTCTCTTAGAATTTACTGCTAAGATAAATCTTGTCTCTACTGACAAACTGTAATATTTTCTGCCATTAAATGTAAATTCAATGCATACTTATAAAATACCTACTTTGAGAAAGGGCTTTTCTAGTTGTTGGGATTATGAAGATAAATAAGAACAAGTCAAAGTTCATTAACTGCAGTCCCTGTTGGATAATGAGCTTCTTGAGGATTGGTTGAAAGAGGAAGTGTGAGACCTAAATCTAACTGATTCCATTTTAGAAAAAGCCTCCATCTTGAGGGTGAACTAGGCCCGAACCCCCGCAGGAAGTACTTAGGCAGCCTCAGCCTGCCCTTAGTTACTTCCCTAGCAACAGCAACAGCCAATCAGTTTAAAAGAGGTGCCTATGTCCCAAGACGTTCCGGTTGGCAGTTTGCGGTCAGGCCAGACGGGCCGAGCCAATCGGGTACTGACAAGACAGCCTGTACCAAAAATCAACCTATCAGGAAACTGCCAAGCTGGACAGCCCCGAAGTCCTCTGTAACCCCAATAAAAGCCCCACGACCCTGAGTTCGGGGCTCCGTAGCATCACCCTTGCTTCGGGGTGCGTTGGAGTCCCTGCTCGAGCTTGAACAAAGACCCTCGTGTGTTTGCATCGGAATGGGCTCCTTGGTGGTCTTTGGGGTCTCACAATCTGGGCATAACAGAAGTATGGGAGGTATAAATAGTGGCTAAGTAGATTATTTTCCATTATTATAGCCATTGGTAAATGAGACACATGTTTATTAAGCATATGCTATGTATAAAGTACTATGCTAAACTGACTTTACATTTCATTTTTAAGTATGGTCATTGGTAATATTAATCACAATACTAGTAATAACTTTGTAGAGTTTTTATGATTAAGTAACAGATGTCAAGTATTTTCTGCAGGCACAGGACATAATAAATATTCAATAAATATTAGAATAAAGTTCCTGTGAAGGCAGCCCATTTTCTGACTTGGGGTCTTAAAAACTGAACATAAAAACTAAGAAATGGCAGATTAGGCCAAAGTAACATCTTTGTTACATATGAAAGCAATGATGAAGCATTTTATTTAGTGTGAGAGCTAACTGGATTTGCCAAATAAAACCTCAAATGAGGTGGACTTACCCTCCCAGCCATAGATAATGCTGAAGCAGTGTAGGCCTCTGATCAGGGGAGGGGTATGGAGGAGCTGTCCAAGTGAGATTTATAGTCTGAAAGAATAGCAGAGCACTAGTGTTTTCTAGTTTTCCCCACTAATTTTTAGCTATTATCATTACTTTCCTCATATATCATATGAAATAAAATAGAATATATGGGAAATTTAATAAGAAAATAAAATATAATTTAGTCAATACATTTGGCTTGGTTTCAATTTGTATTCTCACCTACATAAATAATAGTTTGTTTTGAGCATCTCTCCCTGAACCAAACCCTTTTGTGATGAATTTATGTCTCTTTATGAAAATTATAGTGCAAATGCATTCATTTTTTTAGAGACCATTAGAAGCAAGTTGGCAAAAAACACACAATGCATAATGGTGTTTGCTCTTTTCCTACATTCAAATCCTGGCTCTTAAGAGTGTAAATGATAAACTATTGCTGAGCTCTCTTTAGTTGAGCAAAGTTTTAGTGTTCAAAAGTCTCTATAAATAAAATATTTATGTATCATAAATTAATGTTGTCTGCACTTTATGAATAGAGTAGGCTAAAAACTATATTTGCGTAAATTTGTGTTATGTTTTCTTCTGATACCACGGTGGTCTTCTCCAAATCATGTAACCTAATGGCATTGCCACTGTAACTCATCGGCTGACTGATTCAATTATGTTTTTTCCACATCCATAAATTGCATAGAATGCTTATTAGGTACGTAGAATTCTGGTTTCTAAGAAAAGTCATTGCTGCTATTTATTTTTATTGCTGGATCTGTTTCCAGAAACTTGAGCTTACAAGAACACAAATGCTCTTTTCTCTGCAAATACTAAATTATTTTCAAAGAGTTTTGTTTACAGTCATGGTCTGAAAATCTTCACATTAAGACTCCCTTGGCAACAAAATTAGAATTCAACTTCACGTTAGGATTTCTTTTATTTTATCCACCTAAATGTTACTTTCTCGGAGAAGCCTTCTCTGGCACTTCAGACTAAACAGTAAGCTTAGTTTTACATAATTTTATATAAATGCACTTCTCTGGTGTAGCACAATTGCCATCAATTATCGGTGTAATCATTTCGTTGATATCTGCCTTACCCACCAAACTTGAGACAAGGACTAAATCTTGAACATGTTTGTACTTGCACTATCTAGTGCAATGCCTGACTGATAGCTGATGCTCAACATAAGTTTCTAGGAAGAACATGCAAGAGAAAGCATTATTTTTACTTATAAAGTTTAGAGATCAGTGTAAGACTCAGTGTGAGTTTATCTTCAACATAGAAAAAGAAAACAATTTCATAATTATGATTTTTAAATCTCTTTTATAACAATTTTCAGTAGACTAGTTAAAAGAATGCATATGTTCAAATCAACACACTTATTAAATTATGCCTATTATTCTTTGGAGTACAGTATTCCAATAAATATTTTCTCTTACCACAGCCTTTTAACAACCTAAAGGGCACAGCAGAGGTGTCAGAAACTAATCGTGCTTGCGGGTATTATTAAGATAGAAAAAAAGGCCTCCTGTCTCTTGGGTTAATATTATTTTAGAAGTACTTAATCCCCAGGCTGCTAAGCTAATTGTTGGGGAAAGGCTTATTATTAGTGAAGAGAACAAAACATATGTTCCATGACTGGAAGAGATGATGGGCTATATAGGTCATGGATTCTATTTGACTAAATTACCACTGAACCATATCGTGCATGAGAGGCATGGGGCCAGTGTGGAAGTCAGCATGTTATCTTTCTTTTCTATCTGTACAGTGAATATGCATATCCTGACTATTTGAAGCCTCAAGCTCCCATATGAAGAGGCATTGTTAGATATTATTACCTTAGGCATCTTTGCTTTTATGATATATTTAGTATTTTAGCCTATGCTCCCGAGTGGAATGATTTATGCATAGAATGCCAAACCAATTTATTTGAAATCTGAAAGCCCATCTTCAGAAACAACATTACCAGGGACTTCTTTCCCCAGGGCGGCGAGTAGCAGCATGTCAGCCGGCCTCCATGGTTCCCAACAAAAATCCTGCGCAGCCGGTGGTGGTGGAAGGAGGCTGGACTGATCAGACTCAAGAGGAAATTAAACTCATGGAACTCATAAGACATACAGAGGTACGTTCTTCAGGACTCCAGACATTAAAGATTGCCTCTTTAATAAGGTTTTAAAAGCATAGTATTGAATTTTAAAATTACGCTATTAATATGTCCTCAGCATCTGGTCTGTTATGACCACATAAGCATATGCCAAGCATTGAGCTGGCATTTGGAGAGTAGTTATCTAAAAGACAGCCAGCTCATAGGAAAGTCTGTTTTGTTTGAATGGAGACCAGAAATTATGACCTTAGCATAGAAGAGAAAAAGGCCCAGTGGATATGTACAAAGGTAATTATAATAAGTGTAGTTAAGTTGAGCCTTATGGCTTCATTGCTCATCACTCCTAAGGGTATGTCTCAATATGTAAAAAGAGCAAGGAGCAAAATACTAATTGCAATGGAGACATTCAGAAGTGAGGAATTCAAAAAGCAGTTTCAGTCCAATTGGTTAATCAGTCAGGATTGCCAGACATAAAAAAGTCGAAAAGAGAAAGGTCAGCTGTTGAGAGAGGATTGGGGATAGAGACCTGGGAAAACTTTTTGCTTTGTGAAGTTTTTCATCAAAATGATATGTTCTTATTTAATAGGGTTTCTCAAATCGTGAAATGTGTTCAATCTAAATCTTAGGCGTGTGCCCAAGTCAAGGTTACTAGAAAAAAGAAATTGACATTGCTAGAAATATGACTTCTTGCCAAGCTGAGCAGGATAAATCACTGACCAGGGAATGAATGCAAAGCATTGAAGTAGGACATGCTTGAAGCAGGATGAAAAGCTGCCTGGCAGGGATCTGGCAAAGTATAAGGGTGGCTGCTGTATTTTAAAAGACAGAGAGTAAAGACTCAAACAACAGTCATGCACATTCCCTGAAGCATTTCTTGGTTAAAGAAAATGATGTTGTTATTCGAATCAAAAACTCATTTGTTAGATGCAGAGAAATTGCTCAGTAGGAGAAACACCACACAGAAATCCAAAAACACACACCTATTCATTTTTCCAAATTATAAATGAAAGTTAAGTGTTTTGCCAAAATGAGTGCCTTATTATTATTACTCTAGTGGTTATTATTGCCTTTGGTGACTCATGGAAGCAGAGAGGATTTAAGAAGATTCTGTGACAGGACAGGGTAATGCACTTCCTAGAACTTTTAAAATATAACTTACAATTATAAGGTATTTCTGTTTTCATCACATTCTTCATAAACACACTAACCAGGCAATTCTCTGGGCTTTTCTTACCAGGCACACCTTTCTGCAGTTCAGGAACTGCAATCCAAAAGAAATTCTACAGTTGAAACTAAACGTGTGGCACTGGGGCAGAGCAGCCTGTATAAGCAGCCCAATACAAAACGAGTCTGGATTTATCCAAATGGAGGCAGACCTGAAGATGGTACTTATGCCTGGGGCAAAACTATTTCAGAGGTAAATCTAGTGTGAAGAGAGGTTGCTTCATTGGCCTGGATTGAAATCCTAGTCTGGGCATTTCTAGATTTAGGTTAGGCAAGTTATTTTACCTTTCTGGACCTCATTTTCTCATCTGTAAAATGGGAGTAATACTTTCCTCACAGGGTTGCCATGATGATTCAATGGGCTTGTTTGTGTGAAAATGTGGAGCTCAATGCTGTCTGACACTTGTGTGAATCAGAATGTGACACTTGGTCAGCAGAGAACAATGACAGTTAAACCCACTGTAGCCAAAGAGTAAAACCTAAACTTTAAAAGAATAAATAGTTTTCTTGTTGTGTTTAAATCCTGGTTCACAATGGAGTGATTTTTTTTTTTTTTTGCCCCACCAGGAATTATTCACTAGATATGCTTTCTGTAGGGCAAACAACAGTATTCTTAGAGGAAATCTATCATATTCTTACTACCCAAAGTCCTGGAACTGTGGCAAACTTTCCACTTTCCAAAGTTAAAGCATTGACTGAGGAAAGGAGAAGTAACAGTTTGTTTATTTTTGTAATATCAAGGATATAATCCTAAAATTTGACATTTTGCTTTAGTCTCTCAATAAAAACTTTAGGTAACTAATAAATGGATTTTTAAGTTTTGTGATGATATATCAGATAATTGGCTTTTTATTTTGTGAAATGTCTTCATATAATATTTTGGGCCAAGAGGAAGTCACATATAGATGAGATGTTGGCGGGGGTTGAAGGGTAAAGCAAGACAGTGCAATAGACTGACCTGGGGGAGTTCATGGAGGCTGATAAGGACACATAGAGTAGGAAGTGCACCCCAGAAGAGTTCTGGCCCTGAGGACCAGAGTCTCAAAATGCGACTGGGACTACACCTTTGTGATGGGGACGTTGAATAAGAACTGCAAAAGCAGAAGTTGACAACCAGTTTGCTCTACTTGAGAGAGAAGAGATACATATATAGAAAGCATATTGAAAACTAGTAGTACAAGTAAAGGAACTTCATACAAGTGGGAGGAGAAGAAGAGAGTGATTTTTTTTTTTTAAAAGAGAAAAATCTTTACAATAGAAAACACCCTAGAAAATATTCTATAACAAAGCAGAAATGTTCCTTGTTAGTTTCTTGAAAACTTTGAGTTCCTACTGTAGAGGTGCCTAGGTGGCTCAGTCAGTTAGGTGTCCGAATTCGGCTCAAGTCATAATCTCGTGATCCGTGAGTGAGTTCGAGCCCAGCATCAGCTCAGAGCCTGGAGCCTGCTTCAGATTCTGTGTCTCTCTCTCTCTGATCCTCCCCTACTCATGCTTTATCTCTCTCTGTCTCTCAAAAATAAAGAAATGTTAAAAAAGTTGTTTTGTAGTTCATACTGTAGAATGCCAAGCCTTAAAATGTACTTCACCATTGCAACTAGAACTGATACATTAGTAAGGGAATAAGAAGTGATTAATAAATAGGTAAAAGGTAGAGCAGGGGTGATAGGATTAAAGATAGTTTATCAGGCTCAGAATAGCAAAATCATTTTTTTTTAAATTACATAAATCCAGTGGAGGAATGACTTTTTGATTTCAGCAACTTTTATGTAGCTTGTAAAAGATAACCCCATTCATGGAGTAATATTTATATTTTCCCATGATTATAAAATTTTTATGAACTTTTTATATGAAGGGCATTATGCTAGATGCTATAAAGTATTATTTTAGTTTATGTATGTGATTTTGAACATTTTATAGTATGGTATAATTGACAAGTTAGCATCAATAGTAATGGTAGCAGTAGAAAGAATAAAGTAACATGTGGCCTATGTTCTCATCAAATTACTATTTCAAGTTGGCAAAGCATTTGAAAATACGTCAAGGTTTATTTGAGTGTGTAGAGAAATGGGCACCCGCATGTTGATGGAAGTACAACTTTTTGGCAATACATGTCATTTAAAAAATGTAGTTCGAGAACTTTATCCCATGGATATTTTCATGAATTTATGCAAAAATTATTTGGTAAGAATATTTATCACTGGGCTATTTATAACACAGATACATTAGAAATAATTTAAACAGTCATCAGTAGGGACTTGGTTAAATGAATTATGGAACTTAGGATAGACTATTATAACTCAATTAAAATGAACTTTGGAAAGAATAGTGACAATAAAGATGTTCCAGACTAAGTGAAAGAAGCATAACATAAAGCATGTGGAGTTTGATTCTGAATATACACATGCACACACTTAGAATAAAAGACTGGAAGTATTCTATTTTTGGAAGTATTTATCAAATAGTCTTATTGTTGGTGACTTAATAAAGGTGGTATTTCTTTCTTGTGTATTTTTCTCTGTGCTCCATATTTTGTTATGATGAATACAGATTGTAAGAAAAATGTATTAGCTAAGGGATCTGACATTCTTCTTAGAGAAGTACTAACAGCATGTTGTAAAGGTCAGATCAGCAGTTCAGGCAGGAAGTTCAGTAAGAGTTCAGAGGAGGGGAACACTTCCCACCTGGGGTGAAAGAGAAAGGCTCCACAGAGGAATCAATCAGGACCTCTGATGAAACTTAGAATTGGGTAGGATTCAATATCTTAGGCAGAAAAAGCATTAATAAGGATGAGACGTACTGACCACAAAAGTATGGTTGTTAGAATTCAAAAATTAAATTACATAGATGGTACTTGGACAGAGAAATACAGAAAGATATATACAACTGGAGAGATTGTTTAAAAGCATATGGTGAACCCCCCATGCTATCTATATTAGTCTACTTGGGGTGCCATAACAAACATCATAGACTGGGTGGCTTAAACAACAGAAACTTATTTCTCACAGTCCTGGAGGCTGGAAAGTCCAAGACCAAGGTGTCAGCAGAGTTAGTTTCTGAAGAACCCTCTGGTTTGCAGATGGCCACCTCCTCACCACTATGCGTCCTTACATAGCCTTTCCCCTGTACATGTGTGTGAGAGAGATCTCTAGTGCCTCCTCCTCTTCTAATAAGGCTACAGTCCTGTCAGAGTAGTTCCCAACACTTGTGACTTCATTTAATCTTAATTACCTCCTCAAAGGACCTTTCTCCAAATATAATCACATTGGGGGGTTACGTCTTCAACCTATGAGTTTTGAGGAAGACACAATTTGGTACATTACACTATCCCACACTAAAGTGCTTTAGCCACCAGTTGTCTCTGAATAAGGTAATGTCATGGTATAAACAATGTTTTACAGAGATTAATGTGGTCTCAGTATGTAGAAAGATACCTAGGAAATGTTTAGAAAGTTTTTGCTTATTATTTCTTCCTTTGCTTTATTTTTTTTAAAAATGTGCTTTCTGGTCTCTTTCCTTATCTATTCCATACTGTCTATTTTTGCATTTGGGGACCTGAATGAGATCCTTTGTGATGGATTAGAAATGTATCCATTCAGGCTATCAGGCTGTAAAGAATACTTCTGGAGAATGGGCTGGGTGTGAAACAAATAGACAACAGGAATGTAGGGTTCAGATTTCACTGGGGAGTCTGGCTAACACCACCAGTTCCAAAGAAACTCAGCTTCAGTGGTTGGTACTTTTACCAGAGAAATGAGGAACAGAACACATTTCAAACTGCTTCACTCTACTTTCTGTAAAAAAAACCCCCAGACGGTATTTGAATCCCATCTAATACAGACTTTCTCTCTGCTTCTTTCACTTCTGTGGCTATTCTGGATGATTTAACCACATCCTCCCTACCCACTCTTTGAACATTACTAGAGCAACTCATCTCCAACTGGAGCAGGCTCATCTGTCATCAGTGCACTAAGGTGGCTCCCTCTCCAGGGTTAGTGGCTCTTTCTTCAGAGCCAGCATCTCTCTCTGATTTATGATCACCCAGCCCCTCTTTCTGTGGTCCTGAAGCATTTGTCTTTTCCCACCCCTGCAACATCTCTTTGATCCTACAGAATCTCGAAACCTGTGTGTTTTCTCTCAGCCAAACTGTTCTCGATACGTAAGTGGAAGCTGAAAGACTGAGAAACAGGTCCTTCTGATCTGTAGAGGCGAAGACCTTGAGCCTGCAGGGAATATGCACTTGTTCTGTGATGCCCATGTGCCCAACCCTGAGAAGACTAGTCTGGGAAAACTAAACTCACCAAATCGATTGTGGGTGAAGAATTGTGCACAGAACATTGCTCCTTTGTTATGAGCTTTAGTTATTGCAAAAATTATGAACATACAATTTAGATCACCCATTATAAAGAAGATGCTTGAATAAGTTTAGATACATTTGGATACATAAGAATTAAGAATGTCATTGAAGGTAGTAAGCTGACTAGATATCTTAGAGCCTTTCTGTACTGAAAATACCTTATTTTCACATTTATTTTAAAACTGTTTTTTTGAACTCTTTAACTTGGTCTCATGTAGATAGATCGTTATGAAAACCACGTGAAGTAGTTATATATTTATTTCATTTTGCATTTAGTACATGTTTTCATTAAATAACATTCATTTTTTCTGATTATAAACACCAAGCACAATCTCAATAAAATAGTGACATTTTAGTAAAGTAAGGGAAAATGTAAGAATTACCTTTATGTAAGATCTTTTCAAGCTGCAGAAGTTTTTCCCAGAGACCTATCCATACATATTTTTAGGACAGCTCCCTATTGCTACCAACCAAGATAGAAACCCAATTACCATATTTGTTGGTTGTCTTAAAGTGGAAAAACAAAATAAATTGCTGTGGACTGAATTGTGCACCCCTCCCCAGATTTTTACGCTGAAGCCCTAACCTCCAGTGTGACTGTATTTAGAGATATGGCTTTTAGGAGACTATTAAGGTTGGGGCTCCTGGGTGGCCCAATTGGTTGTCTCCAACTCTTGGTTTTGGCCCAGGTTATGATCTTACAGTTCATGAGTTCAAGCCCCTCATTGGACTTTGTGCTGACAGCACAGAGCCTGCTTGGGATTCTGTCTCCCTCTCTCTCTGTGCCTCTCCTGCTCTCTCTCTCTCTCTCAAAAGTAAATAAATAAACATTAAAAAAA